TTATGTTGATGATCTATACCGCCGTGTACCCTGAAGTAAATGTACCGCTTGTTTCCCCCTAGACCTGACTTTGACCAATACTTAACCAAAATTCTCCTGTCGCTCTCGTAGATATGTACAACCTCATTTCTCAAATCGCCGCACAACCTTCCTAGTAGGCTTTTTGGACGCAGTGTCCAAATTTCGATAGCCTCACAGCTGCATTGATCGCAAGATAGAAGACTAAAATCACTGAAGGATAGATCAATGGAAAGATCGCGCTTTATTATCTTCCATTCGCAGTAACTGGAAATTGTAGGGATTGCAATTCTGCCATAACTTCCAACCTTGATTGTAGCGTTACAACCTTGATTTAAAAATATAAATTAAAAACCAAATATTCTATTTAAGAGGCGTACGTTTCTCAGTTTGACTAAACACACATTAATTACAAAAAAAGCATATAGAGGAATAGAAAATACACTATTTAGCAAAAAGGATCGATCGATCTTTTAGTAAAAATCGATCAAAYAAAGAAGCGTTTAGCCCCAGTGATATTAAGTGAATTTAATGTCTGTAATGTATCCCCTTACTAAAGGACAAACGTTCTCTTTTTTCTATGACAACGTTTTTGACCTCTGAATATTAAAATTTCACCGTAATTATTCTGTTATATAGATCTTATAGATCTATATAACAGGTTTGAAACCTGTTTCATTGACCAATGCAGGATGTCAACCGATTTCAGTGAACAGCCAAGAGCGATTCTATTTTACTTTTTGCGTATTCAATGTGGGATGACAAGAGTGCTTTATAAAGTGATTCGCGCATGATCATTTTGCCCCATTTATCTCTGAATTTTAACGGATTTGAGTTTCTCTCAAATTAGTGTTGGAGATTTTTAAGCCGTTTAAAACACCCGAGATCGTGTTTTATCAACACTCTCTCTCGTGTTTTAAACTATACATAATATATTTTATAATAAAACAATGTTCTTTAGAAATCATACTTACTAGTAGCAGCATGAGAAATTGAGCTTGTTAAAACTAGAATAACAAAASTAACATTAATTAACCTACCCACGAAACAATATTCAGTGTTTTCTGCTTCAMAGCTACTCGACCCGAACAATGAATTTTGTATAAGTATAACACTGAAGCCTCAGCCTCAATTTTTCCAAACAGCACGGAGACGACAACATTTTATTGATTAACTATAAACTTTAAAGTTTGAAGAGTCATTCAAATTCATAATTGTGGAATAAGAATAAAATTGAAAAGTGTAATTATCGATATCAGTTTTGATACATAAGGTGCTACTGTCAGTCAAGTCAACTAGAACATTGACATCATAATTACGTACGAGAAAAGGATGACGACATCGTCCTGGTTAATACGACTTATAAATTGCCCCTAAATTGTCATATTTAGACCTATAAAAATGACCATTCAAGGTCTAAAAGATTTGGCATTTATTTTTAAGACTTATAGACTTTTTTAAACGGAACTCTTATTGAGTTATAAAAAATAATTAGTAAAAATATTTCACCGTATTTTTCATGAGTTCSAATATTTTTTTATCACTTTCTAAGTTTGAATTAGATAGTATCTGATTCTTTTAATCATAGTTTCATCATTTTCAAGATATCTTATAATACGTCTAATTTCAATTGTCTCAAGAGGTTTCGAGAAAAAAACATCTGCTGTCTTATATTGTAAATAATTAGAAAGTTTGAATTACAATGAAATGATGCTATTGATAAATTAGTTCTGTGTATTTGCTCTAACGACGGTTATTTATAGAAAAGTATTTTGCTCGGTTCACGTTTCTAGGTAAATTYACTTTCGCAGAATTATATTTCCTATCGCTCTAGCTCGCTAAAATATGCAAGCATGGAATACGATGAATATTTTAATATTTGAGAGCGAAATTTGGCCAAGTTGCCTCTATAGCCAAAGGATTTTGAATCCTTCTCTGTTTTGAGCGTAATATAAACACTTGAATGATAACAGCCCTTTCCTCGAAGGGTAGCTTAAGGCAAACTTTTTATTGCACTATAGAAATGACGTCTTTCGTATCATGGTAGACATGGTAGTGTGGCTAATGTTTACAACTTGTTTGGTTACTTATAAAACCCTGAATTATTTAAAAAACTGGAGTTTTCTAATTCCAATACTTTTTACGCTTATGATAGCAAAAGGCGAATCTGAAAGTAGTAGAAAACAAGCAGCTCAGTAATGTTTTGATTGGAGTTAGTAAGCTGTCACTAAAGCGGAACTAGATAAGAATATTCATCAAACAGCGAACTTTGCCCAACGTTTGAGAAAAGTTAATAAATATTGACTAATTTGTTTGGCCTTTATAACGGCCTTGAAAACGGCGTTTTACTAGTTTGTTGGATTGTCACACTGTCACATCGGTTATGTACTTTAGGCGAAACCTAATAGCATGTACTCGATGCTGAAATTATTGAATTTCRAATACAATTTATTTTAACAGAACATAGATATTAAAAAGACATGTACTCGAACTTACCTACTAGCAACCAAACAACTTGAATATTGGTGAATTTATACATCATTTTTCTCATGAATTTTTTGGTATCAATACTTTATACAAATACATGCAGTCCGGTTGAATCTATTATAAGTCAGCGTCAWCCTATATCGATGTCTTTTCGTGATGCGTTTAACTTGGTGAAGCGTTGATGCGAAGTCAATTGGGGCCTCTCATAATTACGTCACGAGATATATAAATCGTCACCATGGGGAGGTGTGTAAAAAACATTTGACCTTAATAGGCGTTCTTACTAAGAATGAWGAATACTACCACCATTTTGAATGGTGAAGAAATTACAAGCAAATTTTGTYAAGTATCGCATTCATGACTTTCATAAATGCCTGCCACTAATTAGCATATTATCGTTAAATTAATAATGTTGGTAAAATAAAATACTCAGCATCACATCACAGCATAATTAGACGGTTGATCAAAATATTGGGCAAGAATAAAAATTGTATCTGGGGCAAGACTCAAATTCTTTTTTATTTTTTACATTCAACAAGATTCGTATAAATTTCACAAACTTGAAAACTTGCTCCTCAACCAAAATGTGGTGTCATTTGAACAGTTGAATCGATCGAGAGCGTTCTTCGAAACTCCAAAGAAAGTGTTTATCAAGAATGAAGTTTACAAGACAGTTTGGGGAACACCGTTCTTGGCACCTCCGTCGCTTTCAAAGCTGTACACCATTGTTGTATCACCATTTTCAAAAGGTACAACAAACACGCGCTCKCTAGTTACTTCGTCTTCCGAGAAATACCCACAAACGTTTACATTATCGTCGACTAGAGAAATTGCAATTCCTGGGATGATTTGATTTTCTTTTTTGCTTGTACACCTAGTGTCTTCTTCTGCAAATTCATCAATAAGTACTTTGGGGATGGAGAAAGAGGGTGGACTTTCTGCGATTAAGTTCTCTTCGCTGGTCTTGTCCACGTCGCAATTATGGTTATGATGATGGTTGTCACCATCATCGTCATCATCGTCATCATCAATATCAGGACGATAGTCGCCATGATTGTCAACAAATTCGTTGACCTGATCTAAGCGCAATTGATCATCCTGCATATCACGATTTTCCTTATTACCACAATTCTTTATACTTTCTTCACTTTCATTTTGTGATCCGGCGTTTGATTGATGTTCTTGACWTARCATATCCATAACGTAGTCATTATTTGTCAAGCTGCTAAGAGAAGACAACATTTCCGTTTCACTACTATTTAGTTCTTTTGGCGTTGAGCATCGCAAATCACAGAGTTCAGAMTGTTCGATTGAYTGCYCTATTATGGAGGACGTGTTCGATGAGCGGGCTTCTYYTAWATCATTCCTAGAAGGTGRTACCTCTTCTGAAGATGAGTGCTCGGATACCTCGTATATGACGTCAGCGCTCTGACGTCTCTTTGATGCTGATGTTCTAAGATTCATAAGCTGAACAGAGAGGCGTCGAAGATTAGGATCCTTTTTCTCGTATGATGTACCAATGCTGCCTACAGAATGTCTCTTTTTCGGTTTTTCAACATGTCTTAATTTCATCAATGACATGTCTGTAAGTATTTGCAGCTGGTCTCGTTCACGTTCAGCCTTTTCTCTTTTATGGACCATACTTGAGATTGTTTCTTCGAGTTTTTCGACCTCGCAGTTYGCYTCCTCAAGGCGAAATACCAGATCTTCCTTKTCCTTTATGACCTGTTCCAAAAGATCTCTGGTCTCTCGTAGATCTTGCCTTGATTGCGTTAGCTCGTCGGATAAGGCATCCCGCTGAAGGACTACCTCGTCTAACTGGGATTTCAWGTTGTGAATGGTGCGATCACTGGTTGAGATGAATCTTTGATACTTTTTCTCTAGTTCGCTTAATGAGTCTCTTCTTTCTTGTGATTCGCCGCTTTCGTTATTGTTATCAGCATTCATCCCAATTGACTTTAGAGATTCAGCGAGTTCATCTCTCTCCAACATTGTATCCTCCAGCATTGACTTGATATCATGWATAGTTCTCTCACTTTCATATTTAAAAAGAGTGCACTTTTCCTCAGCGAGTCGTTTTGCTTCCTCCGCAAGGTAGCGCATTTCGTTGGCATCGGTCGCACGATCATTGGCTTCATTAAGACGACAGATGAATGTCCTTGTAATGAGCTCTACTTCTTTGAGACATTTCTTTTCYGCTTCACGCACTTGCTTCARTACTTCTTCTTTATCTTTCTCTGCGCGCCTTTGAAGAGCCTTAGCTTTCAAGGCTTCTAACTCGGCAGTTTTAACTCTTTCAAGATATTCATTGCTTGGAAAGTGTACGTCATTCGTTTCGCGCGATTCAATGCTCGATAGGTTTAAACTTGATCGTGATTCCATGTAGGATTGTGATTTACTGATACTTGCTCTTGATCCACCATCGTAACTATCATATCTCCTTTCATCTRATTCTTTGGACGCCATTTCACTATTCRTGGAATTTTCTAAGCCGTTGAGAAGTGAACCATTGCTGGCGGAAAATGAGTCTGGAAGAATWAGAATAACTTTGTCAGARCAATAMAAATCAGTATAATATACAATTTGGTGATTGTCAGCATAGAATGGAATATTTGTGATGACATTCATATCTTCCTATCTACGATGGAAGTCAAGGTGCAAACTGCCATGCCTTAATTGCCGAAACAAATGTGCGTTCTAATTGAGAGAAATCCAGCACTGAATTAATTCAAAATCCAGACACGAGAATTATTATATTACTTCGAGAGAACAAAAACATTATAAATAGAGCATTGAGCTAAGATCAAACTYWGTAKTCTGATKATTGTRAAATGCGTGAAACTTTAGTAACTACTACAAAGTCCTTGTAACCATGTATATCTTCCATATCTTCYTATATACGTGATTTCAGTGAGCTATCTATCATCGCTTTGAAGATAATGGATGCAATGGTACACTATCGCCCTGAGCCTTGGGTCTGCAATGTCTAGGATATTTCTTGCATACTTTTAGATAACTAGCATAATGCCACAAAATTTCAGTACCTTCAAGGTCCAAGGAGTAAGAGGAAACACTTGGTGTCGATGGAAAGCGATTATGAGAACTGCATCTTTGCARCAGTTGAACAAATGTGGGACGGCATGAAGGGTCCTAAAAAACAAATTAGGTATACCAATCCAAAACACCGGACTATMCAAACTAATATACTTACCTTTCTAAGACACGATGTCATAACCTCGACAAAGCTTTCCAGCTCTTCCARATAATCCTCAGTTTCTATAATCGCTAAAACCTTAAAAATGGAATTGAATAATTTATAAATCTTAAAAGATTTTTTTTCAAAGATTCTAGCACTGAACAGTAAACGARTTCGTGTTTTTAAAGGCTCACGTACGTGCGCCCAAAAAGCTCTGCCATCGTTTCTGTTTTTTTCACTTATGATGTCTTGTTGAAAGTTTTTTTTTTATTGGTTCAGAATCGATCAAGGATGGCGAATTTTCGCATGCGATAAAAACGCGCAAAGGTTCTTGGATGCACGTGGTCCTTTAAGCATTTCACACTTGATATCCGTTTGTTACCTGCTCCACGGTCTTGATCAGTTTTTGTCCAGCGGTTATAATTGTATAGATTAATAAACCTGAAATAACAAGTTCCAAATAAAAAAAAATGGCAAACTTTACTGATTCTAAAAAAAGAAAGACRATGTTTATTTATTCTACCAAAGAAGCTCACCAAAAACCCACACATCTGTTTTACTAGTAGGTTCAATGTTKGCACCAAGTTCTGGTGCAATCAAAGGGACTTTATTGGAATAGAGCTGGGTATCGATAGGCTTGCAGCACCACGACGACCTGCCAGTACAAAAAGATATCACACTTCTAGTTCCATATCTTAAACAAAGTCATCTCACGAACAATCCCAACAAACCTTGCGCAATGAAAGCCACATATCTTAACGACTCCTCTGTCACTGATTATGCAATTTTCAGTAATCTGTAGAAGAATATGGGCAATATGTCATGGCATGTCATGATATCATAAATTTATCGCCATGACGCTAAAACCGCGTGTTCTTATTTTAGTGGGTGATGCTCAGTTAACCTTAGTTAGTGAATGGTTRTTTAAAAGATTGACAGCATAGAGAATTCGTCGAAATTTAAACAAATGTACACTTGTTTCGCGGTAGTTTTCTCACGTTAAAATGCCGAGACAAGTATAATTGTTAATCACACGTGGTAGCTACCAGTTCACCGTGAACCACGCCAACTTCCTCTAAGTAGACCATCCCTGCAAGAATCTGTGTTATGATATTGACCAGTTCGCTTGGATGACTGATTAACAGTGATGCATTGCGTGTCAGGTAATCTGATAGCACTCCGTTGGGGTAGTGGCTATGAAGCACGCACGCCCGTGATCCTTTGCTGCCCAAGCCATAAAATTCGACAACATTTTCATGACTTAATGTCCTGATGAGGAAAATATGTGAATAGTGGTTTATAGATCATTTATGAGCCTGCGTAATGTTTGAACAGCTGCATTTAGGTTAAAAGTATTTTTAAAAATCAACGAATAATTATGGAAAGAGAGTTTCCTTACATGAGTATTCGTGCTTGGTTTGTGAATACGTCTTTAACAGAATCAGCGCAACCAACTTGTCGAACGTGAATCAAAGCGTTTTGGTTTCTGAATTTTCCTTTCATGATTTCCTGCATGAAAAMAAAAACATTKTCAAGATGAAAATAACTAAATGGATATTGCACCTGTATCGCAAAGGTCGTGGGTTCGAATCCCGTTCAAAGTCAGATTTTTTCTGGCATCTTTAGCAGTAGTATGGCTGCATTTGCATTTTCTATTTATATGAAAATAACCTAACTATCCAAAAATTCACCCATATTATTTTATCCGTGTAAACGCCCTCACGAAACGTAGTTTCCACACTTGTGTTTCAAATGTTCGTTCATGCCGACGGGAAACCTAGTCGACAACACGCTCGTGGATGACATAAACAGACATGACTCTGCAGTTCAGAACAAAAACAACAGTTTTTTTGTTCTACTGTTACTAATGGAACAAGTCTTCTCTCGTGACCATTTTCTCACATTCCCAGACGTGGACCTACACCTGGACCTAGGCGTAACCCACCTTATACTTAAAACAAATTGCTGACAAAAAATACTTTGGTCTACCTGTGTTATAGTACCATTTTAAAGTCGCGAGTTTGTAAAGTGACTATTTGGACGTGATATCACTCCGAAACTTACCCAGGGAAGATTCGACTCGATCTCGTCGCCAATGATGATCTCATTCGCGTTTATYTTCCAAAGTTCTGAGACAGTGAAACACTTCAATTAAAATAAAATTTTGTTTATTATATATGATCATGCGAATTGTAATGCTTACCATCGACTGTTTCAATCGAAGGGTACTTGTCAAGGATGACTCCAAGAGCTGTGAGAAGAGAAAAAAGGTCCTTTTATAAGGTGTTCTTAAATGTKCAATTTAGCATTTAGTGYTAAGCAGCAAGCAAGTGCACAGGAGTGCATYGCCCTACTACCAACGTTTGGCCTCGKACAATCTTGAGCAACTACACTACGAACAGAAGCAAACTTCCCTGGAAACTCTTATGTACTATAGAGCGGATTTCGTATGAGTGGGAAACGGACGGTACTGTACTGTGACCGTAATCGTACTGTAACCAAATTCTAGTGCCCCATTGGTTCACCAAAATTGTGCAGGCCAGGTGCGGTAACTGTGCGGTAACCGTGCGGTAACGGTGTCCCACTCATACGAAATCCACTCTATGATCCTCTATCGAAAATAATTGGTCAAACTCTTTCGACGCAAMTACATTATTTTTTTGCTATCGCCCTCACGAAATACTCATGGCAGACATTTGCCAATAGCAAATTCAACGGGGATGGCCGGCGCTATCTTTTTTAGAGATCGATCAGTATCACCACTTACTGGGATGTTGTTTACACTGATCAAGTAGTTGTTGCACAGTGTCGAATTGAAGGAAGTTGACGTACGATACTGACTCGGACCCATCTTTGATGCGAAATTTTTGAGACGATTCGTCGAAAGCAATTTCAACATGTTTGATCGCCATCTCTGTCCTGTCRATAATAAAGACGAGTAACAAATTAATATGATTAAGAAAAGAT